GGGTGCTATAGTTTGGTTTGAGTTGCGGATGTTTGTTTTAGCCAAGTTTCAATCTCTTAGACTTGTTTGATACAGCGGCCCGGCATCTGTGGTGTAATGGGTAGACACTTCGCTGTCGCACGCAGAAGATCAGAGTTTGATCCTCGTGTGGGGATGTGAGGAGGAAATAAATATGTCAGACAGCGTGGTGAAATCAGGCGCTCGTCAAAATAAGGACAGTGAAGAAACTGGCACTTTTCCACAGGTTTTGGAACTTTTTTCAAAATTTTATTTTTTGGCTCAACATCTTTTATGCCCATTAGGGAACACATTTATGTGTGGATTTTACGGAAAAATGTTGATGAAAGGCATAGAAGAGGTAAATTTTCTGTTTCCACTAACTATCAAGCTTAGGAAATCACTCACATTTGGTGGCCATTTTCTCGCTAATTTTACCTCTGAAACAAGGCGACCCCCACCTTCTTCAATCGCAAATAGGTCGACTTTTATTCAAGCTAGACGGATACTTTTTTCTTTGAAAGCAAGGCAAAGGAATAAGCTTTCAGATGATATCAATAACTCCACATGCCCAAACATTGACGAGCGTCTGATTCCACCACGCTGTGACACATATGTATCAAGTATCTCGGTCTTTCTTTTGGGACATTGTGTCTCCCCCCGCCCCCAGGCTTGGCCCTGACAGGCAGGGTCGAAGCCGGACTCCTAAATTCTACAAACTGAGCTGATGGGGCCGTAAAACAAATTGTAATATGCTCAGAAACAAAAGGAACGCGATGAACTAAAACATGAATAAAACACACGACACTCAACAGGAGTTTGTCATGTGTAAATGAAACTTTAATTCGTTCAATTTACACAGCGATGAAAGTGTACATAGGTGGCTGTTTTAGTGGGGGGGGGGGGTTTAGCCTCGCCGTGTTAGTTCTGTGACCTTGGCCTTGGGCCAGAAAGTCTGAAGTACTGTGTGCGACTTCCGTTGGCTGCAACAACAGCTCTGCGTCTTCGACGCATATAATTTACGAGAGTGCTTATTTATTGTCGACCTGAGGATACAAACTACATAGAGTTTAGTGGGAATGGGAAGAGAAACACGAAAAGAACACAAACCATGACACTTTCTGAGGCCTTGGGCTTATTTTAAAAACATTTTTTTAAAAGGGAGAAGTAAGTGTTCTACGGCGCTCGAAACTGCATAAAGTCATTTTATTATGATCGCGCGGGACACTTGAAACATTTTCAGTTGGTAGAGCATTTAAAAAAATTGAATTTTCCCGGGTAACGAACACAGCCAACTCTTATCGACTTTGGACCATGAAGGGATTTTTAACGTGCGCAACCTGCACACAGAACATCAGAAACTTTTCGCCCTAGTCCGAGAAGCCTAGGTGTAGATCTTTCCTACAGTAAAATTAGGCGTGTGACTGAAAGACAGAAGTAAGAAGGAGCCAAGGAGTAGCAGTAGATAGGCTGTAAAATGAGTCAGGAGCCGAGAAAAGG